TATATATATATATATATATATATATATATATATATATATATATATAATTCGGTTGAAAACATTAATTGTCATTAAATTGAATAGAATATTCAATAATTATTTTTAAATAAAAATATAAATTTATAAATGAATTTCGTAAAACATTTTCACACGATATTATTCAACATATATGCGAGCATACATGCACATGTATATTTATGCATATACATATTTTTATGTTTATAAATTGTAATAATAATTATTGCTTTTCAAACAGAAAAAAAGATACACAAAGCATATAGGAAATGATTTAAATGAATTGATTTGAAATATATGATATAGAATAATTATTTTTTAAAATAATTGCTTGGAATGAATAAAATGAATGGTTATTTAGAAACATATTTGAATTATTCAGAAAGAAAACTTTAAATTATTTTCATGAAAAAAGTAATCATTTGATTGTTTTTTTCTTTTTTTGTTTTCTTTCTTTTTCTCTCATTTTACATTTTTTATATTTTAAACAATTTTATCCAATCCCAATAGTTTACAACAGCTACACCTCATATTTAAATATAAACAGAGATATACAACATATAATACAAAGTCAAAAACAGCATTTTCAATTTCTGCATTTTCAATTTGTTTCTCATATTTTTTCTTACGATTATGAAATATTTTGTGATTTTTGTAATAGAAATAAAAAATTCATTAAATACGCAAAAGTTATGTATCAATTTATGATGTAGTAAATATTTTGGTTCCTTCTGGTAAAATTACTTCTTCGCCGACATCGGTAAGAGTGACTGTAAGAGGGAGAATTAAAGGCATTAATATCTCCTGATGCTGCATAACTGTTTGTTGAGCAGTGACTGGTTCAGGTTGCCTAGTAATAGTAATTGTTTTAATATTTTGAGCCTTTACTATTTGTCCTTGTCCAAGTGTGGCCTGTTGTAGCACTCTTTGTTGATTTTGAGCTGGTTGCACTTGCGTGATTAATGTTTGAGTACGATTCTGATTTTGAACAAAATTTTGTTTGCACCTTTTACTATGAGCGTAACGACTTCCGTTGTTATTGAATCGTCGGTCACAGGTAGGACAGGCATAAGGTCTTTGACCAGTATGAATAAAAACGTGTTCTTTAAGCGATTTAAGACGGCGAAAATTTTTTGGACAATATTTACAATGATATTTAGCTTCGCCTGTATGTGAAGTTAAATGATTAGCAAGGGTATCAGCTCTAGCAAATGCTCGTGAACAATATTGACAAATATATGGTCGTTCCTGGGTATGTGTTCTCATATGCATTTTTAAATAGGCGTTCGTTGTAAACGGTCGTGAACAAACTTCGCAAACATATGGTTTTATGCCATTATGGGCTCTAAGGTGTGCAATTAACGTTGTCGATTGTGTGAAACTTTTGGAACAAATCTCGCAAAGAAATCTTTTCGAGCTATCAGTTTCTTTGTTTTTTTTAAATGTTCGATCATGCTTTGATAAATGATTTGTTAATTGTTCTTCTTTAATGAAACGCTTTGTACAACGTGTACATTTATATGGTTTAATCATATTATGTTTTGCTACATGTATTTTTAAATGTTCTCTTCTATAAAATTTTTTTGGACATATATCACATAAATACTTTTTTCCTTCGTGAACTTGAATATGTCGTAAAAGTCCTTTTCTTGATGTATATTGTTTGTTACATTCTGTACACTCCAAACCTACAATATCGGTTCTTCTCTTCCTTCCAATTTTTTCACCTGATTTTTTCTCCTCGGGTCGCGGTTCAATATCTCTTAAGTCTTCCTCTGTAAGAATACCCTCTGTAACATGTTTTGCTCTATGTTCTCGCAAAATCTCGTTGTTTTCGAAAGTATCTCCACAGATATTACATTTTCTTACTTGATCAGGATTCTTCTCAGAACATTTATCATAATGAGCTTTTAATTTGTCTTTACGGTAGAATTTGACATTACAAATATCGCATTCGAAATTTGGTTCTTCGTGCAACAATTGGTGACGTAACAATGATTTTTTTGTGCTATATCGTTTTTTACATTTTGCGCATTCATGATTATCCATTGGCCAATCTAAACCACTTTCGAAATCTGAATCGTAATCATCTTTGTTTTCACTATGATCTATCTCTTCATTAGAACAATCCTTTTGTCGTTCTTTTTTTTCTGTTGATTGCTTTTGTTTTTCCAATTTTATGCCTCGTTGCTCGTCTTTCACATGTTGTTCCATATGTTTTGTTAATGATTGCTTTGAATTACATTTTTTATTACAACTTGCACATTCCAATTCTTTTTTATAATTATGTCTCTTTTGCGAAAAAATTTCTCGTTTATTCCGATTATTATCTGTAGAATGAGCACGATTTATTCTATCATTATTTTCTTCTTCATCATAATCTTCCAAGCCATCTTCAGTTTTAATTTTATCGATAATTTTTTGTGCAGCTTTCGCAGCAACTCTTTTAATACGTTTATTAGGATCATATTCTTGCCCGTGAAGGAAAGTTTTATGATTTGTAGCTATAAGATGATTACGTAATGTAAGTTCATTACCGAATGTTTTATTACATTGTGTACATTTGTAAGTTTTTATACGTTCATGTTGTTCCATATGTTTCTGCAATAGATCCTTTGTTGCAAATTGTTGACAACACATCTTGCAATTATAGTTGGTTCCAGAATGATGATGAATCTCCATGCTTCTAAATAACATGATACTTTATCAGAATGATATGAATTTATAAATGATTCTTTTGCAATACTTACAAAATCTTATTTCCTACCTACCTGTCGTTTTTTTTTGAAGTATTATTTTCAATTTCTGGCAAAACTGATTCATTTTCTATTCCGCAATTCTTTTCCTCAGTTTCTTTATCCATTGTTTCATAATTGTTTGCTTCATTATTGATCGAATTTTTTGTATCCATTTCGAGTTCCTGTTCAGTTAACACACCTTCAATAACGTGTTTCGTTCGATGATTCCTTAATTTTTCTAGCGAATCAAATTCTTCTTCGCATATACTGCATTTAAGAACAGTATGCGACATTGTATGTTTTCTTAAACTACGTTTCGTATAAAATTTCTCTGTGCATCTATCACATGTAAATGTTTTTATACGAATACTGCGATTCTCTACCATTTGATTATCATAGTCATCATCATCATCGTCATCATCGTCATCGTCATCATTATTTTTATTATTGTTATTATTATTATTGTTTCCACAGTCATTACTACTAACTCTTTTAGTTTTATTCTTTTCATCTTCCTTTCTATGGACATCTTGATCCTGCTCTTCTATTCCTTCTCTTTCTATTTCTCTAACAATGTTTTCTTTTTTTTGTTTGGCCTTTTTTCGATATTCTATATCCGAATATCGTCGTGTATCTTCATAATCATCAAAATCTAAACTGTGTTCATCTTCATGGAATGATATTTCTAAGGGCATTGATTCATCTTTTCCCTCTTCTTTCTCTCTTTCATGTTTCTTTAAATGTTTACTGAACGAAATTATATATATATATTGTTTGCCACAATAGGGACACTTGTTCGATCTTTTACCTGATGGAGGCGATTTTGCAAGATTGTAAATGTTCTTTTGTGATGTATCTGGTAGTTTTTTCAAAGACAAAGCTTTTCGAACTTCTTCGTGAGAATGCATATGCTCTTTCAATATGTTCTTTGACAAGAATTCTTTATCGCACAAATAACACAGAAAAAAAATTTTTTCTGATTGATCTAAAGATTTTTTTAATCTTGAGGTTAAATTTAAATTTTCAAAATAATTTTCTTCATCAGAATCTCGTTTTGTTTCGATGTTTCGTCGAACTAATTTACGTTTGCTTCTTCTAGTTTCATTTTGACTCTGAGATTCTATTTCTGCTTTAATGTCTGTATTTGTAATATCAGATTTTTCTCCTTCATCATCTCTTTCTTGTTTTGTTGCATCTGCCGCTTTTACCAACAAATTTACATATTCTGTACAATTCTCGCGTTGAAATGATTCCTCAGAATTAGTAAGTTGATGATGTTGTTGTAATTCTTGTTGATTTGCATCAGATAATACACATTTTTGTTGTAATATATAATCATGTTCTACTGTTGAAATATTTTCAAGACAATCGCTATCTCTGTTTTCATGTTTTAATATTTCTTCATTTTTGGGAGTGTTTGTGATAATTTTAATATCTTCTTCTTCATGATTCATGCAATCTTCTGTTGTCTGTTCTGTAGTAATCGTTTGATCAATTACTTCTTCCATTACCGTGTTAGAATTCTGTTCTGGGAAACATAAAAGATTTATTAATAATAGAAATGGAAATTTTGATCTTTTACTGGATCTTTATTTACCTGTCATAGATTGTTCTTGTTCATCTAATTTTTCTGTCTGCAACAAAGTTAATTGATTCTTCAAAAGCGATGATTTCTCTTCTCGAGATATTGATGTAAGTGTATCGGTGCTTTGATAATCATTTTCCACATGTATTTCTTCTATATTTTCATTTTGTTCTCCTGCTTCTAAATGTACTTCAACTTCATTAAAAAATAATTCTTCTTTCATATTCATAGTAACAAATTTTTCTCTGAGAACTGTGTCCGCTTGCTCCACTTGTAATTTAAACTCATACGCAGATTCAAGTCTATCTGCACACATCCAACATACACGCGTTGGTAAACCGTCTCCGGGTAATATCTAAAACATCCAAATTACATGAATAATTCTTGTTAAAATAATTGATTATATACAAGATATATTTTTTTATTGCGGTAAAAAATGAGAATAATAACACAAAGCATATTTGTATAATTTATATATATATATATATGTATATTATATATATATATATATATATATATATATATATATATATATATATAATATA